TAGTATGCGAGTATTCGCGTGTAGTTGGAATGAAATAACTTTCTGATTAGACATCAGGAAATTACTCAGGAGAATGCCGATGAAAATGCGCGTATTCAGGCGCTGGATATGCCGCAAGAAACATTAACAATTCTGTTAAAGAGCAGCTACTCGGCACTGCCGACTCGGCAGGAAATGATTCAATGAATGAAGTATCTTCAAATGTTCCTCATCTATTCCGAAACAGTAACAGCGGCAGGCTGAGCGGCTTCATATGCCGACAAATTCTTGACCGGGGTGAAGTAACAGAAAATGGGGTAAGACAGATACAATAAACCGACGATATAGGTTAACAACAATCCTAACACTGTCACGCGATGCTTCTGGGAACGGGGAATCACATGATGCATCATGATAACCTTCTGCAATCCTTCTCCAAGATGTGCAATGAAGAAACAGATACCGACAAGGTAGAAGATCACCCAACCGAGGCTGGTGAACATTTCCTTAGTCATGAGGTAGAGATCCTTGAACTCCACAACCGAACAAAAGGTATCGTCCGGAGCACAGTAGAATGGATACATCCACTTCGCACGGAATCTGTATACAGGAGCATGAGACTCACGTACGAACCTCAACTGGGCAAGATGCACAATCAGGAAAATGAGAAGGAAAATACCAGTGATAGGCATCCACAGTTGGTCAAGAGGCATGTGAATGTTCTTGAACTTGAAGGTTCTCATCAATGCAACAACAACATGCATGAGACCACAAAGCAAGAGGTAGATCTCAACAGGAAGCATCAACGTACTCCATGCAACCGGGTGGTTGAGGAAGTACGCATAAGCGTTGAAGTGGACCGCACCGAAGAAGAGATGGATATTGCCAAGGGCATGGATGACGACAAATACACACATGAACATGGCAGAACGAGTGACACCTGATTTGTCATAGGGTTTTTTGAAGTTCTTCACAGAGAAGATGGTGGCGAATACTTCGTAGAGGAAGAGCCATACGAAATAGCAGATAGCAGCACACCACTCGTACACTGAGTAACCCATAGCAGGACCGAGAGGACCATATCGCTTAGCTGTGTTCCTGTCGGGACCCCACCATTGCTCGCTTGCAAGGAGAGGAGCACTCAGGTCATTAGACACAGCAGCAGTAGTAGCAGTAGCAGAAGACGCACCACCCATGACGGAACCAACGGCACCTAAATAGTACTTTTTACCAATGGTACCGAGAGTCTTATCGTCATGGATCATGTTATACTGCGTGGAACCGTCCTTGCCAGCGTAAGCCATAATAGCAGCAGCTCCACCAGGATGGATAGGCAACCAGTCAGTGAGGTCGTAGACGCCACCATCAATGATCATCCAACAGTCCTTCTCAGTGTTATGCTTGGCAACCTCCTCAGCACTTAGGACAATTCCACTAGCAGGAGCGCCAGCAGCAGCCGCAGGAGCAGATCCAGAACCAAGAGAACCGAGCTCGTAAGGCTTGCCATACTTCTCCATAGTGCCAGCGGGGTGAATCATGTTCCACTCGTCCGAGGCGTCCTTACCAGCGTATTGCATGATAACAGCCTCTCCACCAGGATGCTTAGGTAGCCAGTCGGTGACATTGTAGACCATGCCGTTGACAATGATCCAGCAATCATCCTTGGTGTTATGCTTAGCAACTTCCTCCTCAGTGTAGCCCGCTGATGCAGGAGCAGCGACAGGACAAGCAGAGACACCACCAGAGCCAACAGCTCCGAGCAAATAGGGCTTGCCGAACTTCTCCAGGGTACCCTCAGGATGAATGGGATTCCAGTCATCAGAGGCGTCCTCACCAGCGTGCTGCAAGATGATCTCGGGTCCACCAGGATGCTTGGGAAGCCAGTCGGTAACATTGTAAACGTTACCATTGATAACGACCCAGCAGTCATCCTTGGCAGTGTGCTTAGCAACCTCCTCCATAGTTAGAGCAGGAGTGCTAGATGCAGCTGCCACACCACCAGAGCCAACAGGTCCGAGCAAATAGGGCTTACCGAACTTCTCCAATGTTCCCTTAGGATGAATGGGATTCCACTCATCGGAAGCATCCTGACCAGCGTTCTGCAAGATGATATCCTTTCCACCAGGATGCTTGGGCAACCACTTGGTAACATTGTAGACATTACCGTTGATCACAATCCAACAGTCATCCTCAGTGGTATGCTTAGCAACCTCTTCCATGGTCAAGGCCGGACCAGCACTACCGGAACCGCTCATAGTGTCGCCAAGCTTGCCGATGATGTACTTGCTACCATATTGCTGGAGCACCTCAGGACGATGTATCGCGTTGAACGTATTGGAAGCATCCTTACCAGCGTACTTCACAATAGCTGCAGATCCACCAGGGTGCTCAGGCAAGAATTTGGTCACGTCCATGACATAACCGTTAACAACAACCCAGCAATCATCCTTGGTGTTATGCTTGGCCACCTCGTCCATAGTGAGCCTCTTAGCTCCAGCAGAAGGAGCAGTGCTCTTCTTAGCCTTCGACTTGAGATCGCCAACGAGGTACTTAGAGCCAATCTCCTCGAGAACAGATTTCTCGTGACATGTGTTGAATTCGAGAGAGCAATCGGTACCAGCAAAAGCAGTTAAAGCCATGACTCCACCGGGATGCTCCTTCTCATAGTTAGTAACATCATAGACCTTCCCATCGATAACAATCCAGCAATCATCATCAGTATTGTGCTGAGCGACCTGGGCCATAGGGATAGAGTCAACCAGACTTCCAACAACATACTGCTGATAATCCTTCAACAACTCCTTCTCGTGGACAGTGTTGAACTCCAACGAGCAATCACCGCCAGCGAAAGCGTTGATTGACAGAGCTCCACCAGGATGCTCATTCTGGTACTTGGTGAGATCAAAGACTTGACCATTTATAATGACCCAGCAATCATCATCCTTGTCGTGCTTGGCCACCTGCTCCTTAGTGAAACCGTCAGAAAGCTTGCCAACGACAAGGTCCTTATGCTGCTGCATCAACTCCTTCTCATGAACGGTGTTGTACTCTAGCGAACAGTCAGTACCGGCGAAGGCGTTGAGGGCCAAGGCGCCCCCGGGATGCTCATTCTGGTACTTGCTCACATCGACGACATCACCGTTGATGATGAGCCAACAATCCTTGTCAGTATTATGTTTTGCAACTTGCTCTTTAGTGAAGGAACCCATCTATAAAACGGAGGACCGAAAAAGGAACCTATAGAATTGGTAGAATTCAGAGAAGCTAGGGACAAACAGTGACACAAAAAGTAGCTAAGCTTCCTGATTCCTGAGCGCAAGCGGGAAGACACAGATTCTCCACGCAATCTTAGCAAGGTTACGATAACACGCTGAAGCCTCTGTCCACAACACTGTATGGATTACCGAACACGGTGTTAACTATAGTTATTGATTTTCGAGTCAACACCAGAGTTGTTCTCCATCTGTCATCGATGATATTCTCACTCCCTCTCGGCCGTTTCAATAGTATTGACAACGTTTAATGCGTTACAGATAAGTGATAAGCGAATCGAACGAACGAAGAACACCAAACCACGCTGAGAACAACGACAGTCACTGCGAGACAGCAGCGTAGCTACAGGTCGAGCAAAGTGCACGCATACACAAAGAGACAAATGACACAAGATTTCAAAATCTTTAATTCGACAATTCTACCACTATTCTTGAGAATTAAAAAGGTTCCTTCGCCATCCACTTAATAATATTCCCCACTTGCAAACTCAACTCGATACCACTGATCATCCACTAACACATAAAAACTCACAGCGGCTGTTCGCCATTATACCAAGTTAACGAATTGATCGTCTATAAATGTGGTCATACCTACATGGTATGTCACCAGCAAGCTTTACTACTGCAAATGCAACAAATCAACGTCAATATAGCTACTACGAATCTCCATTCGAGATGGGTTGCTGTGCCTCGTAAGCGTCCCAATCTCGAATCGGGCAGAGATAGCAGTATATGGGAAAAGACAAGTAGCAAAGTCCGATGAATATTATAATGGTCTCAGCTAGTGCACTGACGGTAGCTTTACGATTTCTGGGCACCAAGGCATGTACAGTGATGATCTTGCGGAGACCTTCTCTCGCGTGCGATATGAAGAACAGTACTCCTACTAAGTAAAAACCGCACCAACCAATATTAGAGAATAACTCCATTTCCATTCGATACAGATCTTTGAAGTGAACGATCTCACACGACGTGTCATCCTTCTCGCAGAAAAACGGGTACATCCATTTGCTTCTGAAGTAATACTTGGGAGCTGCTTCTTCACTGATCAGTCGGAACTGGGTCAAGTGGATGACGATGAACACCAAAACGAATAAGCCAGAAATCGCCATCCAAAGCTGATCAACACCCATGGAGATCTTCTTGAACTTGTACGTTCTGACACAGGCCACCACGACGTGCATAAGTCCTGCAAAGAGCAGGTACAGCTCGACCGGAAGCATGAGACTACCCCAAAGCACGGGGTGATTCAAAAAGTATCCGTAAGAGTTAAAATGGTCCGCACCAGCAAATACATGCAAATTACCCAACCCATGAATGATCACGAAGAATATCATAAAAAGCGCCGCTCTAGTCAGCCCAGACTTGTCATGAACGACTTTATAGTTCTTCACCGTGAAGACTGTAGCACCAATCTCGTAAGCCAGCATGACAATGAAGAAGGCGAGGGCGCAACTGTACTTGACGACGGAGTTAGTAATCGACGGACCCAGCGGTCCATACTGCTTGTAAGTATTCCGAGCATCACCCCACCAGTGATCATTCGGAACTGAATTCTTCAGCAGTGGTTCAGTCAAGTCATTGGCAATGGTAGCCCCAGCAGGAACTGACCCAAGATCGCCTACTAGGTACTTCTTGCCGTGCTTCTCCAGTGTGCCCTCCGGATGAATCATGTTGAACTGCTCAGAGGCGTCCCTACCAGCATAAGCCATAATAGCAGCTACACCTCCCGGATGCAACGGTAACCATTCAGTAACGTTATAAACCTTACCATTGATGATAACCCAGCAATCGTCTTCAGCGATATGCTTAGCCACTTCGTCTTCGTCCAGGACCCCAACAGGACCACCACCAGCACCACCCGAGCCTCCCAAAGACGATCCAAGTTCGCCAACTTCGTATTTCTTACCGTACCTTTCCATAGTGTCAGCAGGATGTATCATATTCCACTGCTCACTAGCATCCTTCCCAGCATACGCCATAATTGCAGCCTCACCTCCCGGGTGCACCGCGAGGAACTCCGTCACATTATAAACCATGTTGTTCACCACAATCCAACAATCATCTTTCCCATTGTGCCCAGCCACCACATCCAACGTCAAAGTCGCAGCTTTCACAGAAGGTACGGCAGCGCCTAGTTTTCCAATGATGTACTTCCCACCGTATTTCTGTAGCACTTCCGGTTGATGTATCATATTCCACTCCTCAGAAGCGTCCTTACCAGCATACTGCATTATAGCAGCTTCCCCACCAGGATGCTGCGAGAGGAACTCCGTCACATTCAGTACAAAGCCATTGACCACCACCCAGCAGTCGCCCTTACTAGTGTGCTTAGCCACCTCACTCATTGTCAAACCACCACCACCACTTCCACCCAAAGCGCTCGCCCTTCTGGTCTTCCGTCTCTTATTCTGGACCGTAACAGGACCAAGTATATACTGCCCAGCTTCCTCCTCCAACAATGCCTTGGCGTGACAAGTGTTATACTCCAGGGAACAGTCAGTACCACCAAATGCAGTAAGAGCAATAACACCACCCGGATGGTCATGCTGGTACTGAGTGACATCAACAACCATACCATTGATAACCACCCAGCAGTCGTTAGGTTCTCTATGCTTCTCAACCTCAGCCATCGGGATGCTCTCAACCAGTAAGCCAATCACCAAGTCCTGGAATTGTTCCATGAGCTCCTTCTTGTGAACAGTATTGTATTCTAGTGAACAATCAGTACCAGCGAAGGCTGTGATAGAAAGCGAGCCGCCAGGGTGCTCCAAGAGGTACTTGCTACAGTCAATGACTTTACCGTCAATGACGATCCAGCAGTCGTCAGGTCGATTGTGTTTGGCCACCTGCTGTATGGTGTACGACTGCATTGGAAAGGGAGCAATACTAAAGGGAGAATTATAATCTAATAATCAACAACATTGGCCAACTGCCTCGACTACCCCTGATGAGATGACAAAGGGCACGATAGAAGCGAAACTCGCAACCAACGTCAAACATGAACTACTAGGAAGAGAATGCAAAGGCAAATCGTACGCACCAGAAACTACTACTACTACTACTACTACTACTACTACTACTACTACCACTACTACTACTACTACACGATCTTTCAAGTTGTACAAGTGCAGCACTCAATGCGAGACAGAAGACATGAACAATCCACGACAATCTGCAAGAAAGGAATGTGCGCCGGGCGCGCGCTAATAACACCTCAAAATCCCACGTTCTCCTCAGCAGTTATTGTTTAACTCGACATACTAGATCGACAATGAACGGTTACTCAGCCGTAGATGCATGTTACAAAATAGTTGGTGCTTAGTTGAAAAAGGCTTATAATTCCAAAGGGTCCTAGCGTCCAGATAGCAAGTGTATTTACAGTAGCATAAACGAACATATAGAGGGAAACTGTCATCCACACTCAACCATTCATCTTGGTCTTGAAAGACTGTGTCAGACCCTGTATGGCCAGCTTGTCGTTGGCGTTTAGGAAGCCATCCTCCTGATACACAAAGCCCATGAAAAACAAGTCCAGCTGCACAAAGACGTACCTTCTCCTGCTCTTGCTGTAAACGCTTCACCCGACGATTAACCCGTCGGAGCTGGTCCTTGTTCTCTCCGACCATCCTGTTATTACGTTCGATCTGACCAAAAACGCTTGCCTTTACTCAACGCATATCGATACGTTACCTGTCCCTGGAGATCAGTGGCGAGCTCATCCTGTCTCTGCGACTGGACTTGGATCCTCTCCGCAAAATTCTAAGGACAAGATTTAGATGAAC